CCCCCCCCCCCCCCCCCCCCAAACAAACCCAAAAAAATTATTATTATTAATGATGATAACAGTAATACGATTACAGTAATAATAATAAAAAAGAAATACTAAAAGTCAAGATGAGAACTAACCATGCAGACAGTTGTATGCAATGATTGGTTTCTGAGATCTGGAAACCAGGTCTATCACTTCTCGGAACCCACGAACCTTTAGGTTCTGCTCATCTTCAACATTTTCAATATCACTCTAAGAATTTGATTGGAAAAATAGGGAACTCATAAGAAACTCGGAGAACAAAGTTTAGGGAACAATAGGAATATAGGAAAGTCCCTACCATGAGAAGAATTTTGTCCTCATCTGAACTAGTCAGCACCACACGTACTGCCTTGGGCGCTCCACATTTCTCTGGAACAACTAAAGGCACAAGGTCATCACCTATCTTGTTAACTATCTACATTCACAGAAAGAACATGAAAAATTAGCTCTGACAAGGTGATGCATTATGTATTTGTCAATTTCTAATCAATTGGTGTTAGGTAATTGGTTTGAAGAACCACTTTAGATTGGAAGGGATGAGAAGTATGGGGCTAAATTCTTCAATATCAAATGCTCACTTGGGCTCGTTTAAAAGTTGATTTCTACCGGATTAGATCCACTAGTACAAGGTAATGTCTCGAACAACATACAATAAACAACAAACTAGTTAAATTATATATAGATTAAAAAAATCCAGCTCAGAGATAAAAACTATGATGAAGATACCACTATATTAAGATTATGTGACTTCTCTTTGAACCCTTTACTTATCAAGTCTAGAAGTCAGGTATGGGCTTTGTTAAAAGTCAGAACAGTATTATGGACAATTTCGGATTTTTAAATAATTTTAAAGTGTGACCAAGTGTTCGTCACTTTCTTGGTTAACAACACATGGTTCAAATAATGGAGAGACTGTCCTGTAAGTACAAATTTCCAATTAACGGATTGCACAAACAAGTCAACCAACAAACCATAAATGACCAACATACCTCTAGTGTCAACTGCACTTGACGATCACTGCAGACCTCGATATTCATGCATGGTCTTGAACCATAGAGTTCATCGCCTAAAATTAGTTTTCTCAAAGATTTTACAAGAGAACCTAAATAAAAACAATCAGAATTAATATAAATTTAAACACACATAAAGTTAGAAAAGGATCATGTTCATCTAAGGAACCTACCATCAGCAACACTGTCTTTGTTTTTGCAGGCGCTTCTCCAGTGCTCAATTCTTGACTTGATTCTTCCCATGAAAAGCGAATCAGCAACCGATGGATTAAAGGAGGATGAAATTGGATGCATTCGAGGAACAGGATTTCTCTCTTTTGCTTTTGATTCTTGTACTCTAGACAAATATGATATTCCTGCGAGCGGAAAATAATTGAACATCTGCTAAGGATACTTGAATCTTTTGATGAACTAAGCTACCATCAGGTGGTGCTTACCATCATAAATGCATGCATTAAAGTCAAAACCTTCTTGAGCCATGGAAGTCAGGAATGAAGTTTGGCACGAGAAGCTATAGGAAGGCATGCCCAAACCTAGCTCATCCCTTGGAAATAAATGAAAGTTGTAGCTGCAAAAGAACAATTAGAAAGCTGTTACCCCATTGACTGGTCATGAATTCTCAACTGGGCAGGTGTTGGAAAAACATAGAATATAGACTACGAGACACATAAAACTTCCACATAGGCAAGTTTTCCTCCTAGACTTCTTTCAAGTTATCTTGAGAAAGTTAAAATGTAAATGAATATACAGATGGTTCTTCAAATAAAATTGCTTGGTTTCAGTCGCATATGATATTGCAAATAGGAAAGAAACATGAAATAATGGTTAAGGAATATTATCTATTGATCCCAGTTTCCAAAAGCTAGTAAAACACCAAAAGGGAGTTTGGATGCCTTAGAAAGAACTAAAAAAGGAAGACACCTGCCAACTGAACAAAGGAATTGAAACAGATATTCAGATAAATGAGAGAGAAAGAAGGCCCTTTATGAAAGGGAAAAAAGATATAAAGGAAAAAACAAGGATCCTTAGTTAAAAAATAAAAAAATGAGTAATGTTAACTTTGGGTTGTGAATGATGGTACTAAGGTTGATATTTTACATGATTTGGTTTTAGTTAAGGTCTCTTTACCCACAAAGTACCTGGGACTGCCTCTTCTAGTGGAAGGCTTGGCAAAGCTTTGTTTAAACCACTACTAGATAGGATTTCTGCGAAAGTTCTATGTTGGAGTAATAGGAATTTATCCTATGATGGAAGAGTGGCTTCGGTGAGATCTGTGTTTCTTGGTGTCCAAGTGTTTTGGACTAGTGATTTTGTGTCACCAAAAGCAATCATGAAGGCCATCAATGCTACCTGTAGGAAGTTATCGTTTTTGTTTGGGGAAGAGGAAGGGGTTGGGGAGGAGGGCCAAAGATGATAGAATTAGAATGACCTTAGTAGCATGACATGATGTGTGTAAATCCAAGAAATGTGTTGGCTTGGGCTTATTTGTTGCTGAGAGATGGAATTTAGCATCATTAGGGAAGGTGATACAGAATATACATTAAAAAAGGGACTTTGCGGATTAAATGGCTTCATGAAGCTTATCTCAAGCATGCTGATATATGGAGAGTGCAGCCTAGAGCATGTGATTCTTGGCAAAGGAAGAGGGTTCTTTAAGTGGGAACTAAGAGGGTTCTTTAAGTGGGAACTATCTGCTCTTGCAAGGGGGAATGCAGAAACTTGGGATAGAGTTTCGCAAGCTGTACTCTAAAAATTTTTATGCTCTATCGGGTTCGGTTTGTTGAGGCAGAGTTTTGTAGCTGGTCCCCTTTAATCTGGAGCTCCCTAAATGTGCCTAAACACTCTGTGATTGAGTGGTTTGCTATGAGAGCTAGGCTCTTGACTCAAGATAGGTAGATGCAATTTGGGATTTTGAATCAGGGGTGCAAGCAGGGGCCCGAAATCTTGGAGCACTTGTTCTTTGAATGCTCATTCTCTGCTAGAATCTGGAGGGTAATTATGGTTTGTATGGGTTTCAGAGTGGGGTTGTTTCATTGGAGTGATATCGTTGTATGGTGCTCTGCTCATTGGAGAGGAAACTCTGTGACGAAGAAGGTTTTTTGTGCATGCTTAGGTGTGTGCGTCTAACACATCTGGCGGGAGAGAAATCATAGGGTTTTTACGAATAGATTCTCATATGAAGAGATAATCATCAAAGATATGAAGTATTAAAATGTAAAGTGTTAGAGAGATCTTTTCATGGAAAAATTCCATATTATGCCTTGATATATTTGTTGAAGTGAGCTTTGTGATGTCATTATGTATTTTGTGGGCTCTGTGACTTGTTAAGTGCATGCCCGGTTATGCCTGGCTTGTTGTCTGTACTTTATTGCATTGGTAAATGAAAATTAATTCAATTACCAAAAAAATGATCCTGAATATCAAGGGCAAGAATTACAGGAGAGATGTTAGATTATTTATGTCATAGGTCTGTTGGTTCTTCCTTTTATTGTCATCTTATTATCCATCTTGTTATGTTTAGTTTTTATGTCTATACATCATTAACTGCTAAATAACGGCATAAGCTCGCTATTTCAGAAACTGGTGACTGAACATTCAAAATGGGGTAATTAAAAATATTTGCATACTTTTCCTTGGATTCAAACTTCTGGGTAAATTTCTGCAATGCTTACTCATCGCATTCTTCACATGCATGAGAATTTCATGATTATATAATGATCAAATACATTAGATGATTATATAATGATCAAGGTGGAATATGTCCAAACATGCTCATCTTTCTAGATAGTAAATCCTCGTATTATGACAACTGAAAACAGGAGGTACTGCAATTTTGTGGTGACTAATTAAACTCTAAGATTACCATGCTTGTTTTCTGTTGTGTTTTCTACCTGCCACATAAGCAGAGGCTCTATTTGGTTTTTGCAGCAACATTTTTCTTAATTGCATTTTTGCATTTGAGTTATTTGACTCCAGACTACCAAACTGAGGTCCATTTGTCTATTATTCATGGTTAGCAATACAGTTGTCAACCTTAAAGCTCGTGCTTAACTGCAGCTTAGAAAGAACCAATGTAATTGGATTTTTTTTCTCAGATTCAAATTGATATAAAACAAGCTGCTTTTCCAACTTCTCTCCTCATTTCCTAACTAGTCATTTGCATCAGAACCAAGCGCTACCCCTTCTTCTCATTTTAATTTAGGTTGAAGCTAAACAAGCCACAATTTGTTATAATTTTAAGATCACTGCATCCATATATTCCTCATTTGTTTAATTGTTTGCAGCTGCCAACATGATCAGGCAGTAGGATGGTTAATGTTTTAGCAATAAGTATTAAGTTGCTAGCAATAGGGATGGTAAACAGGCGGGGTGTAGGTATGTGCGGGCACATTTATGCCCATTTTCCCATCAAAGTTCTGCTAAATGAGTCATGCCTCACCCACCCATTTATTAAATGAACAACTCATATGCCCATTTAAACATAACATTCTCCTTCCTAGTCCAACCATCACAGTTACTAACAATACACAATATCGTGTAGATGCCCTTTGGTCCACAATGTTTTACATGCTAGTAAGTTCAAAAAACAAGAATCAAGTTTCTCTTAATTAAATTTCTCTTTGAGTAATTTGAACAAAATATGTCTTCCATGGTCAAACTTTTGCAAAAACATGATGTTGTTCATTACCACCCAAATTGGAGTCCTTAGTCTAATACTCTTCTCTCTAAATCTTCTCTTGTTAAAGTGTCTACTAGTTGATTGGCCATAGCCTTCTTCTGACGATGCAACTTCAAAATTTTAAACGAGACTTCCTAAAGTTATAGTAACACAATAAAATACAACGTGAAGAAAAATCAATAGCGGAGATAGAATCACTAGATTAGTAGTAACAAGGGCCTAGTATAATATGTGAGATATAAATTTTGCAACATATAGAAAAACGCACAGAAAAAATACATAGAGAACAAAAAAAAGAGAAGAGAAAATATACCATAAAGAGAAAATAAACCATCTAATAAATTTCATCTTCAGATTCAGAAATAATAAAATTATTAAAATCATGCACCAAAAATATTTTAAAAAAATAAAGTTGCATTAGTCATAGAATCAATAATATTAATCTACTTTGAGACAATACTTCATAAATATACAAAGGAACAACAAAAAAGATAAGTGACTTTCAAAGTTCTCGTCTAACAAATAACTATATTTAGCAAAGAAACAATACATATTTGAGTTTCTACATTTTCTAGAAGAAGGCTATTACGATACTTTCGACGCACTCGGCCATCAATACTGAATACATATTTAAAAGCCACAAGCCACAGAAGTAATGAGATACTCAACATACCTGAACCATTATTAACAATTAAGGACGCTTCTCATATTCTCCTTTCTAGTCCTTGAAATATTTAAATTCTCATTTTCCCCTAACTAAGAAATATCAGAATTTGAACATTTCTCTTATAAAGCGTCATCAATTGTCAATTATGGCTTATGGTATATTAACTATCCTCATTACTTTGTTGGCTTCTAAATTTGCATTCAGCATAGTTAGCCGAGTGCTTGACTATTATCATAATCACCTTCTTCTAAAGAATGTTGAAGCCAAACATGTACCGGTTTTTGGCTAAATTGGTTGTTTCTCTCAAAGTAAATTAATAACATTTTTAATCAAAGTACAACTTTAGGAGATATTGAAGGATATTTGCTTGTTTATGACTATAGCAATGTCCATATTTCTGAATTTTGAAGGAAATTGATTATATTTTTATTTTCTAATTGTGGTACTGTCTATTTTTTATTTTTGCCGCATTTCTTTATGTTACTGAAATGTTTTATTTTTGTATTAGCCTTTTTTGCTACGAATCTAGTGGTGCTTATCTGAGCAACTAATTTTTCTTAATGTCGCTACATTTTACTATTCTATTGTACTTGAATTTTAAAGTTGTAATGTTGTCAAAAGAAAGCCGTGAGATTGATTAGCTGACAAATGTTTTAGCAAGAGAAGATCTATGAGTAGAATATTAATTGAAGTTTCAGGGACTCCAATTTGTGTTGTAATGAACAACCCTCATGTTTTTGCAAAAGTTAGACTTTGGAAGAAATTATTCATAAAATTTCTCAAAGAGAAGTTTAATTCTTCCTTTTTAAATTATTGTCAAACAAGATATGGATGTAGAGCTACATAATGCACCAGTTGATTAATGTTCACTATTCTTGCCAGTAATTTGTGAATCAATTAATGTTAAAGATTGTTCTAACCTATGTAGCACGGACACGGATCCGATACGGCCATCCGACACGCCGACACGAGGCAAATCCTAAAAAATACATAGGATACGTGTGTTTGACACGTGTGTCCGATACGGACACGACACGACACGGCTTCATGTTATGCGTGTCCGTGCTTCATAGGTTCTAACTTGTTTACTATCTTTCTTAAGAATAACACATTATTTTCTACAGAGTTTGCACATTGTTATGGCTATTCTGGTGAATAATAGCATGCAAAACATTATATAGATTAAAGGGCATCTACAACTATATTGTGTACTATTAGAGTCTAACAGTGGAGGGTTGGATTAAGAAAGAGAATGTTGTATTTAAATGGTGTATAGGCAATCATTTAATAATGGACGGATGAAACATTGCCCACTTACCGAATGCTAAATGGGCCATAATGGTCAAAAAGCCATTAATTCTCCCGCCGATATGAGTCGCTCATACCCACTCATACTCGCAAATTAACATCCTTACTCAATGCAGATATAAGATTTGCGAGTTCGGATCTGAGCTTCAATCGAAAAAATTTGTAGACTAACTGCATTCCAATCATAAATACTGAATATGTGCTTTGATGCAAGCTACTGCCATTACCTAAGCTTCGATCTATTTGGATAGGAGAGAGAAAAGAAAAGGTTTAGAGTCCTTTGGGTTTGAGAGGAGAGAGAAACTAGAGAATAAATAGAAAAAGGTTAATTTAATTTTTAGACAATATATTTTAACATCTACTTGAGAACTTCGCGTGAGTGAAAAGTGAAGACTTCACATAGGAAAAAAGTGGAAGGAATGAGGACTGATGGGCGTCTATTAGCGGCACAAACCTGCCCATTTACTACACACATAACTTCTATTTAAGTAATACCCACCCAATTCAATTAACTAGATGAGTGGGGACGTGTGGACAATAAAATGGGTCAGTAAAGCGGGCAAATGGGTATAAGTGAAAATTTTCAGCCCAACTAGCTAGCAAGAGAAACAAAAAGTGATGCACAAGATAGATCTAAAGTACATTATTTACAATAAGAAATCGATATTATAACATAATCAGTGTTTAACAATTTGTAAACAAAGTGTATTTTCCCCTAGTGAAGGACATATGAAAACAGAAGCAAGAGCTCCCAATACTTTTCTATTGTTTTCGCAGCTATGCCAGCATGCAGCATCCAAGTTACCACACTTTGACACATTGTTCTGTCGGTCTTATTATTTGGTTCTACCAACATGAGCATACATTTAGGATCAATTTATCAAATAAATATCAATTTCAAGAGCAAAATAAGCAAAACACCATACTCGAGAATGTGGAGAAATATCTTCTACATTATATTCAAGAGTGCAATACTATTATGCGTGTACCAAATTTCTATCCTTTAGCAATCCACTTTTTTCCTCACCAATCAAAGTGCGCGCAATTCAAATGTTAAATAAGTATTATCCATGTCCTATTTTCCGGAAACAAATATCATTGTTAAAATCAACAAATTTTTTTTACTGACTACTGTTGCAAAAATGATGAGAATTTAGAGAAAAGCCAATTCAGACTTACAACTGAGGGGTTTTCTGTGATTTTCCTAAACCAAAATCCCAAGCATACGAAGTTTTAAACATAATACTAATCAACAATCTAGGTCCCATTTTCGCTACCCCATATACCAAATTCAAGCAAAATTTAAAGTCCCCCAATCTCCCAAACCCATAATAATATAATATATTATATATATATAATAATATATATATATATATTAATTATATAAATATATATATAATATATATATATAAGAAATATGGGTATGCTTGGTACAAACACAAATTTTGTGCTTGGTAGTGAGGTGACACAATCCACTCCACTCATTTCAATGGTGGACTACATTCACATGGGTTGAGGAGTACATCAGGATATGCAACCATTGAATAAGTGGATGGGATTATGCCACCTCACTACCAATCACAACCTTTTGTGCTTGGTACCAAGATATCCATTTTACTATATATATATATATATATATATATATATATTATTATATATATATATATATATATATATATATATATAATATATATTATTATTTATTTATTATTATAAATGGGTATGTTCAGTACCAAGCATAAAAAGGTGGCACAATCCCCTCCACTCATTCAAACGGGGGATCACATTCAAAAAACCTATTAAAGAAGAATATAGAAAAAGGGCAGAAAATTTACGGGGAGGCGAGGACTTTAGACCCCTGAATGGAAAAAGGGCAGACTGCAAACTGGAAAAGCTGGAAATTATCAGCGGACACCTTAGACTTGAGATACGCAACTTCAGGAGTATCAATAGGAAGCACGCGCCGCCATGAAGATGAAGAAGAGAAGAAATCGCCAGTTTTTTGAGAGGAGACGGCGATGAAATCGGACTGATTGATATGGGCCTTTATCTCTTCAAGCGCCGAGGTGAAGTTCGTCTTCATCACTTGCTTCACTGCTGAGGTGTAGCCTTGCCGTTGAGCTGCGGCGATCGTGGCCTCCATTGTTTTTATGCCTTTTGAGGGGGTGAGTGTTCGTTGTTTTTTGAGGGAGGAAAGTGCGAACTGAAATGATAGTTCTAATATGGGTTAGTCATGTTAAGGAAGCGCGTTGGGTTTGTACCCGAATCCGATAGATACTAACATGAAAATTATGGGTCTTAGATCATCTCCAACCGGTAGCTAAACCGTCAAGATGACGCAAATCATCCTCTAACCGAACGGCATCCTCAGCATCATTTTGGGGGAGAGCTACAGTGTTGCGTCAGATTTGGTGAAGCACTGTACCTTTGGCGCAGAGGTTTTTTTTTGCTAATTTTTAACCTTTTTTTAGCATAGAGTTTATTATTTTGTTGATGGTTTTTAATGTTTCTCTTTTTATTCATGATCAAAATATTTCATTGTAGCTTTTATTTTTTTAGTTATTTCGATATGAACTATTATAATAAAATTAGATTATAAAATAATTATTAAAATAAAATTCAACAATGGAAAAAATAGATAGTTTAATCCAAACACTTAAAATTTCATAATACTAGAACCAAATAGAACATTGAACATAAACTAAAACAACATTGAAAATTAACACTAATTGCAATACATTAAAATTAAAGGAAAATAGAACATTGAACATAAACTAAAACAACATTTCAGTATTCTAGGAAATTATCATCAGAAGGACGAAGATGCTCGAAATATTGGGCAAAAGTACCAGAATCGGTATTTTGAGATCCTTCACCTTGTTTAGTTCTTTTATGCATAGTTCTTGATTGTTCTTGTACAAGAAACTAATGTAGCTTTGGATCAGTTACTTGTGTCAAATCTTTCAGTAAAATTAAAATTTCTTCTCGTAATTCTTCCACGTCCACTTTTTTGGCCACACTTTGAGCTCGTAACATTTGGATTTCATAATTTAGTTGCCTATCAGCATTATTTTTTTCCATAATTGCAACAATTTTTTGATTCTCTTCTTTCATATACTTCATAAACTTAGAACTTTCTTCATCATTTCTCTTTTTTAATTTTGCTTTCCGTGCCCCTATAGGTCTTTCAGTTGAAGTACCACCAAAATCATTGTCATTCATTCATATTAAAATCGAATGAAGCCAGTCCAGGAGATGCTGGTGTGGGAGAGTCTGAAGTGGGAGAGTACTCTGATTGTGATGATGCAAAGTTACCATGTTGCATACGTCCCACTTGAATTCTAGCATTAACATCTGCAAATTTTTCGATATCTTTCAAGATGGGCCTTACATGATCGAATTTGAATCACTTCTTATAATTCTTATCCTGAGCGAACAACACTTTAGCCCGATTGAACTGAAAAATAATATAAATATATAAAATTAAAATTCAATCATAAATTAAATCTCAAAAATATTTGTAACAAATAACACTTACAATATCTTGTTCAGACGCACCGCTTGGATTTAAAATTTCAACATGTCTTACACATCCCCTCATCTTCCCTATTGTAGTTAAGAGAGTTTGCATTCGACATTGCAAAGATCTTCTGGGTCGAACTTGAGTGATAAAAGCAGGCATTGAGCTATGATAATCACTCTCAACTCGAGACCAAAATTGATCCTTAGATTGGTTTATACCTATGATCGGATTTTGGGAAATGTCAAGATATACATGGCAGAGGTGTGAGTTTTCAGCATTTGTGTACGTTGATTTAAAGCCATCTATAACACAAATGAAGAAGATGTATGTTTCTTGAAGTATGATATGTTATTTATAGATGAAAAATGAAAGTGACAACATTTCAAAGCATCAATGACAACATATCAACTTCTAGCACTTCATGACAACTCTTCATGACAACATTTCAACTTTCAATGCTGATCGTTTATCATCTCCATCTATTATAAAAGCTCCTATTGATGAGTTTGCTAAAATCATAAACCTCTATTTTCAAAAATGAATTTTAACAATAGAGTCCTTCTAATTTGTCATCATCATTTTCTGATAATGAAATTGAAGATGAACAATTGATAGATGATATTGAAGCGATTGATGCAGAAAGGGAAGCGGTGTTTCGCATCAGGAACAACAACAACCTTCTCATGGCTTACTATATCAATCAACAAAACAACCAAGTAATCCGTGGAGGCTCAATTCCTGGTCATATAGTGATCAACCGTGATTGAGAAAATGTTGATCGTAATCTGTTCAACGACTACTTCTCTGAGAATCCGCGATATAATGATTCGATGTTTCGCCGACGATTTCGAATGTCTCAAGATTTATTCCTTCACATTGTTAATGCCATAAAAGCTCACGACACTTACTTTATACAGCAAAGGGATGGGGTCGGTAGACTTGGATTGTCTACGCTTCAAAAAATTAAAGCTGTGTTCCGAATGTTGGCATATGGTCTACCAGCGGATGCTACTAATGAATACATTAAAATAGGAGAGTCGACAGCAATTGAAAGTTTTAAGAGATTTTGTCGTGCTGTTGTGGAGGTTTTTGCAGAACAATATCTGAGATCGCCTAACAAAAGTTTTAAGAGATTTTGTCGTGCTGTTGTGGAGGTTTTTGCAGAACAATATCTGAGATCGCCTAACGTTAATAACATTGCCAGACTACTACATATTGCTAAACAACAAGGTTTTCCAGGAATGTTGGGCAGTCTAGATTGCATGCATTGGAAATGAAAAAATTGTCCAACGGCTTGGGCTGGCCAATACGCAGGTCGTAGTGGATCCCCAACTATTATTCTGTAGGCCGTAGCTGATTATAATATTTGGATATGGCATGCATATTTTGGTTTGCCAGGTTCCAATAATGAGATTAATGTTTTAGATGTTGGACCTGTTCGCGTGGAAAACTGTTGCTTTCTTCATTAATGAGATAATTGTCATCTTGGATTACAAAGATCCGGTCTTTTATAGATCCGGTTACAACTAAATCAAAGAAAGAAGAAAAAAAGTAAAAATTACAACTTTCCTCTTGTGAACAAATCGCGAGCTCCTGTTTTGCGGCCGCTCGCTTGTGTGGGTTCTTTGCCTGCGCCGGGGTTGTTTGCCGTGGACCACCGCGCGATCTAGATCCGGTCGGATCTACACGATTATGCGGGTATTATTCCACGAAGGGAATAATAGCCGGGAGGGATTAATCCACCAAGGGAATAATCGCTCGGATCTCGAGATCTAAGACCAAGCTTAGATCTGGAGTATGACCTCGTGTAGATCTCAGATCTGTTCTTTTTTCCTCTCGAGATCCTGCCTTTTCTGACGTGGATGGTCGTCGAGGATCAGATCTGTATGTCCAAGTCTTCAAGTCTTCAAAACTCTGAGTTTACTCTTCAATCCGGCAGAGTTTCGGCTCTTGAAAATTCCACCTCCGAAAATGAACATCTTCTAGCCATTTAATAGCTCTTCAGGACAGTGCCCGCAAACAGAGAAACGTCGGCCACCGTCGGCCACTGTCGGCCACCTCTGGTGGCCGGCACTGAGGCCGAAGCCACCTATGGTGCTCGGCTTAAGCGAGCCCCCTTAGTGTGGGTTTTCCGAGTTTTTGAGTTTGTCCGTTTTTCCGGTTATTGTCCGTGATTCGGTTGATTGAGACTCTGATTGGTTGATCTGATTTGGCAGTAAGTCGATCTCCTGATTTGGCAGTAAATCCGCTTCTGAGTTCCGAGTCCGAAACTGATCTAGATTCGATCGTGATTCGTCCGAGTCTGTTCTCAGAGTGGATGACTCGTTGATTCCTAACATCTATGGCTTAGATTCCGAACGCAAATATGATGCAATTACCGTCGCTTCCGCTGCGATCGTCGATCCTCGTCGCCTCGTTGGTTCGTCGGTTTGTACCGAGCTATGCTAGGGGACCTATAAGCAATTTTATATGCCTACAACGGTCCCACCGGAGGCCTTGCTGGACCTTCCGCCATAGGAGGGTAGTTCTTGAAAAAGTCCTTCCCTACCCTGGTGATCAGTGCATCCTCCTCATTGTCAAAATTGTTAAGAGTCGCTATCTCTGCTCCATCATTGTCTGGAATAGCCGAGACGGTGTTGCATAGCTTAGCCTTGCCTTTGGACTTCTCGAAAGTCCACTGATCGTCGTCGAGGAGATCGGGGTGAACCCACATCACCTGCACTGATGGAAAATTCTATGACACTAAACCTTTTCTCACTGATTGTGAGGATCAGCATTGGTAATCCTCAGCACCGCTTTGGGGATGGGTATGACACCTGCCAATGCGTGAACCTCAGGGAGGCCTGCCCTAAATTTGAGAGTGATCATGTTTGACGTTACCTTATTTTGGACCTTCTCCTTTGTCAGGACTCCGGACTCGTAGAGGGCTTTTAGTTTGTCTTTGAGGATATAGCACTTGGAGGTATGATGACCGACAAATCTATGGAAGGCACAGTAGTTGGGGTCATCTGTCTTGTTCACATCCTCAGGCTTCATGATCTCTTGAAGCTTGATTCTTTTGCTCTGGAGGAGAGTGTCGAATGTAGGCACTACTAAGTCTTCATCAAAGTCGTAGTGCCTCGGAGGGCGTTGCTCATACGGCTTGGTCTTTTAGAACGGAGCTGTCTTCGAGACTGGATTAGAATCTACAGCCATGATCTCTTCCCCCTTTGATCGAGGGTTCCGAGAGGTGTTTGCTTCCGAAGCTCTGTTCTTGGACTGGGGCTCTTCGGCTTCTACTCGCTTGATCATGTTTTCAACTTGCTCGCCCTAGCGAACAAGTTCTTTCCAGGTCCGGGTTTTCACCATGCTGACTCTGGATAGAATGTCGATTGAGAGGTTGTTGCGACACATCTCAACCAGGGTGCTTTGAGAGACCTGGTCTTGGTATTAAAGCGACTGATTCCTGAATCTTTTCATGAAATCGTTGACCGACTCCGTCTTCTTTT